ATTTACAGTTGAAAAAACACAGTAAATTCAGACTTTATTTAATATTACGGAAGCACAATAGTTGAAGTAGGTGCTACCAACTAATTGCATTCCCTGTGGTTGACAGTTCAAACAGGAGTGGCAGGTAGCCTTAGTAGCTTTTCAATAACTCAAAAAACAAATTTACAGCCATCATGGCTGAAAGAACAAGAATGGTTGGTGGCAATGGGAATCAAACTCAGGACCCTCAAACCTCAAGGCAATCCCTGAATCATCAGGCCATGCCAGCCCAACGCTGAACAAACTTGAATTGATCAAAAAATAAATAAAATGAGAAATCTAACAGCAGTATTTCAATTACACAGATTAGTTGAAGTAATCAAAAAGAGTAATATTTAGAAACTCTAATTTCAATTAAATAATTAGTTTTATGAATCATGACACTGGTGATTAAGCTAAAGAAACCTGAATTGATCGAAAATAATTTGCAATATTTCGATTACTTGAAGAGTTGGATTAATCACAAAACCATTTCAACTATTTGATTATTTTCATAACATTGATTTAATTCTAATTTTTATGAACCAATTATTTGACATGACACTAATCAATTTAATCGTAATTGATTAATGTATGATTTTATATGACACTAATTGAGGTAATCAATGCTCCTAGGTATTGGTTAAATTGGTTACATCTTGTAATTGGTTACATTATTATCACATTCAAGTGTTCACTGATAAATAGGCCAGGTTTTTAAACATCCAAATTTCTCTCAACCTAGGTAATTTTGCTATTGTTTGATTTCCTTACTAGCAATATCCTCCTTAACTCAATAACATATATACTTTGAAGATTATTTAATAATATTTAATTTTTAGTTTATATGGGTGTATTTAACTATGATGACTATAATTGATTAATTGATGATTTTATATGACAGTAATTGAGGTAATCAATGCTCCTAGGTATTTATTATATTGATTAATTGAGTTAATTACCAAGCTTTAATTTTCATGCATGTGATTTTATTCTGTTCTTGTTATAGAATGCAAAAATAGAATTTCATTGTATATAAAGATATCTTTGGAGCCGAAAATGTTACTCAGAAAGACCACTCTGTCATTGCACTTGTCTAGGTCTATTTCATTCATTGTTTATATTAATCACTTATTTAGTTTCTGTTTTAAGGAACAATAATAATAGCAACAAAATCTTGTTTTTGTATTTTTGGCACAAACAAGGTCAACAAGTAAAATTGGCTTATATTACTTAAAATGATAGAAAACAAAGGATCAAAACAAATATAATAATAAAGTGGTCATTTACAGTGACCATTATGTCCCAAAAGATATCCCAAAATGAATTGAAATTCAGATCATGCATTATACTGTAGAATGTATAACACGAAGAAAACAAATTCACTTCACATTCATGAAAACACTTCATATTCACTTCTTATATCATATTCACAGTATTATGTCATTTTGCTTCTTGACATTTGACCCACACATTTTAACCCCTCTTCAAATTGAATTCTTTAGATATTTTCATATATCATGCAGTACTTTACAATGATGTTTTTCGTAAAAAAATTGTTTGAACAATCAAGTGTGGATTTAGAATTATGAATTTTGCTACATATCTTGCCAGTCCTTCTTTTAAGACAATAAATACTCTTTAATGCTAAATAATATTGTTATAAGCCCTATTTTTAATGTTTTAATTTGGGTGTTAGCTAGATGGCATGTGATGTTAAGATCAAGTAAACTTATAAAAATAGTCTTTGAATACCTCGACTTTACGAAGTGTCTAGAAACAAGACTACATTATCAATACAAAAAATCAGTAATGTGCTGAGTTAGTTTTCAGTTGGCAAAGTGCCAGTCAGACAGTATTGGGATCAGTGTTAGTTATTACATAAAGTATATTCAGTTTCTTGATCAATAAGCCATGAAATTGTAAGTTTATTTGCACGTTATTCATATTAGTATTGGCAAATAACTTTCTATTGAAAGTGAAAAAGTAGTTTTTGAACCAGAGCCTACAACTGTGTACAAGGGATAGTAGTCTGTAGCCAAAAATAAGGAAGAAGTGAAGTAGTTTTTGAATTAGAGCCTACAACTGTGTACAATGGATAGTAGCCTGTAGCCAACAATAATGAAGAAGTAGTTTTTGAACTAGAGCCTACAACTGTGTACAATGGATAGTAGCCTGTAGCCAACAATAATGAAGAAGTGAAGTAGTTTTTGAATTAGAGCCTACAACTGTGTACAATGGATAGTAGCCTGTAGCCAACAATAATGAAGAAGTAGTTTTTGAACTAGAGCCTACAACTGTGTACAATGGATAGTAGCCTGTAGCCAACAATAATGAAGAAGTAGTTTTTGAACTAGAGCCTACAACTGTGTACAAGGGATAGTAGCCTGTAGCCAACAATAATGAAGAAGTAGTTTTTGAACTAGAGCCTACAACTGTGTACAATGGATAGTAGCCTGTAGCCAACAATAATGAAGAAGTAGTTTTTGAACTAGAGCCTACAACTGTGTACAATGGATAGTAGCCTGTAGCCAACAATAATGAAGAAGTAGTTTTTGAACTAGAGCCTACAACTGTGTACAAGGGATAGTAAGCTGCAGTCAACAATAAGAAAGTGAAGTAGTTTTTGAACTAGAGCCTGCAACTGTGTACAAGGGATATTTGTCTTTGAATATGAACATTCTGACTCAATTTTTCTTTCATCAAAGCTATTCTACCACTACTTTATATACATATTTCGAGTTTTCTCTACATTTGCAGTACAAGGTGCACATTGAAAATATTTAAAAGTTGGAGAAGAGAGAGTGGTTGTAGATAAACATTTCCATAAATACTCCAACAGGAGTGTGAAATTTAAGTAGTCATTAAAATGACTGACTAAGTAATGGAGTATTTTAAATTTCTATAATATTCTATTCATATAATAATCAAAAAACAATTGTCTTACTTACCTCTTCAGGGGTCAATTCACTCATCGTAATATATTTTCTGGTAACACCAAATAGTCAATTTCCAACACTGAAAAGTTGTAAACATGTTTTGATTTACATAAATGATTTATTATTAAAAAACAGTCTTACTAACAGTCTTAATGTTTAGTTCCAAAAGTAATAACCAAAAAAAAATGTTTAGTTCCAAAACAGAACTTCATAAATAAAATCAACTAAAGAGTAGGTACGTACCCATTAAAGATACTCTGAACAAAAGTAATTTTAATTTTTTTTATGTACATCAATTTTTTTTCTTTTCACAAAAGCAGATACGCTATTTTAACCCTTTCTTACCCAATGGTAAAATATCAAAACATATAGTCACTTCAGTCTTAAAAAAATTCACTATTCAACATTTTTGCACTTAGTGCAGAATAGAAACCTAATTTCTGTAACATACATATTAAATAAAAACCACTAAGTGCCAAAATAAATTATAATAAAGCTTATATCTAAATAAATTCATAAATCTTTACATTTTCACAATATCATTTCACAGATATGATAGAGAATGATTTAACTCTCTCAATCACTGAAATAGATGTTAGATGTACAACAAAAGTAAGATAATTTAATAATCATTATCACATTTAAGTGGTCACTGATAAATATGCCAGGTTTTTAAACAACCAAATTTCTCTCAACCTAGATAATTTTGCTATTGTTTGATTTCCTTACTAGCCATATCCTTCTTAAACCAATAACATATATACTCTAAAGATTATTTAATAAGATTTGTTTTAATTTTTAAGGGTGTATTTAACTAATTAATCTGAATGCAAAAAAACTGTGTTTATGTTTCCCATGTCAGTGTGGTAATTCAGTTTCTTACACTAAAGCTTTTTTTTTCATAAAATGACCCACATTTATTGAAGTATAATTTCCAGGATTTTATCCAACCATTTTTACTACAGCATTCCTGTTGTTACCCAGTAGAGCTGTTAAAGATAACTCTTTTACCATGAGCAGTCACTTCAAAATTAAATTTATTCTTGTAAGCTTAAGAGGGGAAAAAAAAATTCTTACTTATGCATTCTCAACTTTTCTTTCACAATTAAAACCAGCATAGAAGGTTGAAAATAAAACATATAATGTTAATATATGTAGCTAAGTCCATGTACAATGTATCACATAGCTTTGCTTACTTTTGTATCACAGCCACAGTGATGTACAAAATTAAGGTTGGATACATTTTCTTGTAATTGACTATGCTATCTGAATTTTTCAACTTTAATTATACATAATTATAAAAATAACACTGATTAACACTAAAAACTACAAAGACATTGACTGAAGAAACCCAAAGTATAATTTCAATTAGCAATTCCCACACACACTTAATTGACATCTGTCATAAAGCACTTTTACAGTAATAGCAACAAAGTCCGATTCAGAAGTAGGGGTTTGCTCTATGTGAATGAAAATAATTAAACAAAAACAAAGAGTTTCCTAATACTAATTATGCCTGCTTCCACATCCTCAGGATGTTCCAAGTGTATTGTAACATCAGTAATTAGCAAGTTTTGGGATGAATGCATCCAAATATCAGTGTCTTCATCTCATCCACCACCAGCTTGTAAACTGAACATTTTATTTTTTCCCTCGTACACATACTACATAATTTATGCCACATAAAAGGGAAACAAGCAGAAACATGTAATTGTTGTGTACAGCATTATAGCAAAAGATCAAAGTCCTTTTGCCTTATGTTTAACTGGACATGACACTGAAACATACATGTTTTAGTTGCACAATATCCAAATTGGCACTGCTTGGGTCAAAGATACATTACCAAAGCAAATAGTGAAAGGTCAAATCTTTCTACACTGTTACAGTCACCCAACTTCTCAAAACAACAAAAATAAATATCCTGGTTTGTACAATTTTGAAAAGTGGTTAAAAAAAAAGACCAACTACTTGATCAGAATGTCAAAAAAGTGGTCATTTCTTAAACTGAATCCTGATGTAATGTTTACATACAAAAGAAGTTCCAACAACTACTGGTCACTTGTTCATGCGCTAGGGCTAATAGTATCTCATTAAAAAAAGTTCAAGTAATGTTGAATTCATACGACAACTTTCGGTTTTCTTTGTGTTATGTGTTTCGTTGGAATGGTTTAATATATTTTTACATCTCTGGTCGTTAGTTAATTTCACGTATAATTTCTTTCCAATGAAACTTTAGCGACACAAGTCCTTTCTTAAATAAAACTAGTTTATTCTTTCTGAATACAACTTTGCAATACACTTAATTTCCACAGTCACGCTATAACAAATGCTATAATTCACAATGAACGACTCACGCATTGACTCAACTGTCCGTATCTATCTCTGTCTGCAACTCAATTACATTCTTGCTGTCACTTCTTGGCAGTCTTATATATACAAGAATACTGCAAATCTAGTAAACACTCGAGGATTCACGAATCTTCGAGAATATGACGTGTTACTAGCGTCACGTGACCCCCGCTGTCATGACAATATATATATAAAAACACTAAATGTTAAACCACTCCAACGAAATATATAATACACATATCTTGCTTTAGTTCCTTTAAACTGTTGTACAAGATGTCTGAAACATACCATTTCCACTTTACTCATATTATGGTTTCAGTAACCCTTACACAAGTTAACATCAAATGTGTGGGATAGGACAGTAACAATGTTCCACATTTTAATTAATGTCATTGTTTAAGCCAGTGCCTTTAAAGGCTGAAACTGTTCTACATAACCTAAATACTTCAAGTAAAATATAAACTATTTCAAACGCACCAAAAAAGAAAATAATGTTTATGGCTCAAAATTTATAAAATTAAACTATCCATTGATAAATGCTCTTTGGTTCTCAAATACATGTAGTTATTGTGAACCGCTAGCAAAACTTGAAATAAAATATTTCTGAGACTTTTTAAAAATAAAAATGAAGTTCAAAATTCTTTGGACACCAGACCCTACAGAAATTTAATATCTGAATGTGAATATTCAGAAAGGTAGAAAAACATGTCATTTATTAGTCGTTAGAAAAATATCCATGAATCTAAATATTTTTGGAAGGAGAAACATAATTTTCATGTGAAAATTACTTTCACGTTAAAAAATTAAAACTTTAAATTAACCACTTTTCATAAAGTGTGTGATAAATTAAGGCTCCTCACATAAAACTTTAAAGTGTGGTTTTTATAATTCAAAACTCAAATCACTACAGCACTTAGTTACATTAAATCACTGATCACCAAATTTAATGTCAACTGTAAATACAACAAATACTAAACGGTTGGTGAATTTATAACTGCAGGAGTTATACTTCTTTCATAACTGTACAATGAAAAGGTATTTTCCAAAATTAAGTTTTGTGCTGCAAGATTCATACTGAATAATTGGTTTTGATATTAAGTATCATGCTACAAGTTTTTTAATTAACCTTACAACTACTGATGGGGTTCATATATTATGTATGCACCAAATTGTTGGTCGATGATTTTCTTGGTTATAGGGTCCTTAATAGCAGAGTAGTTAATCAAAAAATTTAAACAAAAATACCATCAATATCACAATTAGCTCCACTAACTACTGTTTTGACCCCTTATGTGTTTCACATGGATAATAAATGATTTCACCCCAAATTGTTTACTGTTTTATATACTGAGTATTATAACAGACAAAAACATAAAAATACTCAATATGATACAATATGTGGACCTCACTGGTAGTGAACAGCATGAAAACAAATTGGTAATTTGAAGGTTAATTACCTTTAAGTGTTAAAAAAGAACAAACTGCATTATACGATAGTTTTATCAAGATCTTCCTTGGAGATGCAGTATATTCGTAAATGTGCTCTGTATGGAAAAAAAATGTACAAGTTTGTTTGTAAAAGTTATCCACATATCCATATACAGTTGAGATGTATTTCTAAACTTGGATGTCATTTTTAATATTTGTTAAGATATAGCAGTACAGGTTTTGTAGAATACAGCCACTGAAAACAGCAAATGTATAAACCAATTTACATGTCCTTGTTACACAAGGCTACATTTTGGTTTTGCCACATGATGGCTACAGATTTGCACATATGACATGCAAGTAATAATTGAAAACACCTTAAGTGAATGTGATGAAACTGTTCATTCAGAATTATTTTAAAACCTTAGTTAATGCCAACAATGAATGCAGTCTCTGTATAAAAAGTAGTCCACCTAGCTATAGACAGAAGTAACAACACGCGAGATCAGCAATTAACATGTAATTCAAGTTAAAGGGTAAGGTCACACAGTTTTAGTTATTTCAAATATAGATCCTCATCCAAGGGGTTCTGGAATAATCCAAAAGATAGTGATTTGTAATAATGTTTGGCTCAGTCTATCTTTTTGAGGAAGAGGTTTTAATTAGCATTTGGTCTAGCCTTGTATCAAAGAGAAAAACTTTGTGTTTTGTATTTCGTTTTTACTTGAAAGACTTGAAGTTAAATTTAAAACAATTGGGAGAGGGATGTTTAAACACAATGGGATAATAAAATATACTTAAAATTAAAATTGTTTAAATCTTAAAATGTATAATTTTATGGTTTCTAGGGTATGTAATAACTATCAGATAGTTGCTAAAATTGTAATTCAATAATAATTACAATTAACAATAAATAATCTTAATTCTGAGTAACAGGAAACTACAAGAAGCTTCTACAAACACAACTCTAGGTCATCAGGTGGGCATCCTCACTGTTAGTAGTGTTATGGTTCATACTCGATGCATAGTGAGGTATTTTTTCAAGTCCTAAAAATATTCATTACTTCCCTTATATATGTCCTAAAATTGGGTATTACCAACTTCATTATATGACATCAGAGTAACTTGCTTTAACACTGTTTAGAAGAACAATGTCTAAAGAATAAAGTACATTTAAATTATTGTAAATATCTAAAGATTATACCAGTTTTGACGTATTAAAGTTTCTACTCCAGCTTCACCAGCCTCTTAGGCTTTGAAATAGAATAAAAAAAAATTTATGACATTATTCAACAGAAGCTT